AAATCGTATTTCTTGCATTTTCTGCCTCTGATTCTGCATTTTAAGTAACAGGACTGCTCCCAGCGGAAACTTCTTTCTTATGAATAGAACCAAACAAACTGGGAGGACAAAAGCAGCAAGTCTGGAAAGCCGGCTGTCCAGCTGAGTTCAAGGGGCCTTGAGGAGTTTTTTAGCACAATAGTTTGCAGCATGGCTCACTCTGTTCTCCTTGGGCACCATTTGTGATTTCATATATTGTGAACTAAATCATGAGAGCATTTCAGACAAACTGCTGTTGGAAACATGACCAGCTACACAATTTCATTTAGTGCTTTGCTTCCTAGTTTTTGACAAATGCTTTCAGCTCTTCCTAAAGAATTTTGGTAGGCCTTTGTTTATTGATTTCTATTAAAACTTTCTATAAATTCCAAGTGTGCTCTGCCTTCTAGCTCTGCCTTCCAGAGTTTATGCTCAGGTGCTGAAGAGATATTTGTGTAACAGGAAAGGTAATTGGCACTTGGTTGAAGGTTATGGTTAAAAGCCTGTTAATGCTCCCCACGATGGACAGGAATGATGCAGCTCACGCTGGTGCTGCTGGCCAGAAACTTGCTTGCAAACGATGCTGGTTTAGATGGTGTGGGTTTCGGTCTGGATTGCGACCCAGCGCCCATCGGGGTGTAACCCTGGACATTGTCAGAGGCCTGCTGGGTTTTGGGTTCCCTAAGGATCTGCTCTGCCTCTGGTGTGTGAGCAGGCCGGGTTAGAGGAGAGGGGGGGACAGAGGTGTTGGTACCAAGCAGCAGGTGGTGGCTGCTCCATGGGTGGGGCTGGGGAAGGTGGATGTCCTCCAAGCGCTCCTGCCCCTTCCCCGGGCAGCAGGCAGGGAGGGTGGAAAAAGGCTTTGCTGCCTGCGTGTGTTCTCTCATGATTATCTGAAAGGGCTACTCAGGAGCAAGTTCGTTTTAGTTGAAAGGAGGGTGCCTCGTAGCTGCAGCAGCACAGTGGGGGTGGGAGCAGGGGCGTGGTGATGCAGACGCCGTCGGGGGCTGTTCCTGTGCGGCCGGCTGGGAGACCCCCGGGGCACTGGAGAGTGCCAGTCTCTCCGTTATTGCTTCTGTCTTTGCATTAATGATGCCAGCAGCCCTTAGTTTTGTCTTCTCCTGCAAACCTTTTCCATTTAACATGCAGCAGTGGCTCCTGGGGTCAGTGTCCATCTCCATGTGTTTGTGTGAGTGTTTGTAGCTCAGTGCCTTCCAGGTCACGGCCAGTGGGCTCTCCGCGGCTGGCGAGACTGCCCTTGGCCTCTGTGTGCTGAGACGGTCCTGGCTTGGCTGAACTTCTGCAAGGAGACTTGGAAGTGTCCAAGCAGTGTGTTAGAGGAGTGGGGAGAGCAAAGAAATTCTGGTGATGAGGGTCTGGATGTATCTTGCTGGTGCCTGGATGCCCAGGAGCGTCCTTGCCCGCTGCTGGGACTGACGTGGCACCACCGAGTCCTCCTCAGTACCAGGGCTCTGGGGTGCATGTGGGGTGATTGGGGAGAGGGAGCCAGGTCCTGCCTGGCTGGCTGGGGCTGGGGCTGGGGTCACTGTGACTGGGCAGGAGGTGGGACCCTCGCTGGGCTCGTGGAGGAGGCTGCAGGTCCCATGGGCACAAGCTGCAGATCCCTGGTATGGGAGCAGGGGATGGTGAAGGCTGCGGGAGCCTCGGTGAGTCTCTGTGTTGGCTGCTGCTGTCTGAACTGCCTCGAATGGCCCCTGTAAGAGGCAAGGAGAAATCTTTGTGCCACATACGAAGATCAGATGAGCAGCCATGGCTCAGATATGGGAGAAAAATAGGAAGAGGCAGGAAATGGAAAAGGTGGGAGAAGTGTTATTGACATTTCTCTGCATTGTCGGTGTTATTAAGACCTGTTCTTGAGACCACCTCGGGTTGGTTGTAATCCATGATGAAATGAGAACTAGAGATGAAATCTGTGTGGTTTTGAATAAAGATCTCCATCAGACTTGCTTGGGAGAGCAGAGCTCTGTAAAGCACGTCCTGTGTTGGCACCAGCAGGAGTGGGAATGTAAAATCCATATGGGATGTAATGAAATTTCCACTGACCTTGTGTGGGAAGGAAACTCTTGTCAGCAGGGGAATGTGAAGGCTTTAAAAAGGTTTTGTTATGAAACGGGTACCTGTGTGTCCTGTAGGCACACAGTGGTGGGTTCTGAGGAGGCAGAACCAGAGGTGGTCACTCGCGGCCGCAGCAGGGGCACTGCTGGCTGCAGGGGCTGTGCCATGGGGGGAGCCTCGACGGGGTGCTGCAGGGCAGGGCTGTGGGGGGCGTCCCCCGTGGAGCCAGAGCTGCAGCACGGGGCCTGTCTGTAAAGCTGAGGCTGTTCTTCAGCAAGTGCTGAGGCCCAGCTGCCAAGGGCTGGACCAGCATTCAGGCGCGATGGCTGCGTGCTGCTTTCTGGAAGCTCACTTGTCTTCTCC